TTACGGTGGTATTAATGTATTAATTAATATACTAATTAATATATTAACACTACTTATAATATTATTATTAATCTCAATCATTATATAAATTATAAATATTAAAAATTTATTAAATTATGTCAAATTATCAATTAATACACTAATTAATATATATAACATTATTCTATTAATTAATATAAATGTCATAATAAAATATTTTTTATTCATAATTAAAAAAAATTTGTAACTAAATGTGAATAATCATAATTAAAATAATAATCATAATAAATTGTAATCAATATTATAATGGGGTTGAACTCTTCTCATGTTCACATTTTAATATGAGAAAACTTGAAAGATTTAGTCATTATATGGTTAGTTATGACTCATTGTAATGGGTTGGACTTATCTTAAATGCATATATTAACTTGAAAAAATGTGAGTGGCCCGTGGAGCTCACAACCACGGATCTTATTTTGATAATTCGAATCGTTTATTTTGTAAGAATTTGTATATGATTCATGAAAAAGTTTAGTTCAATTACAATCATAACAATTTTCATGTTATCACATTTGTCTCCAAAAAATTAAAAGATAAATATACCATTCATTTAAAAACAAATATAATAAAAGGAAAATATTACGATTATCGAATCAACTTAATTTATTTTATAGATAATATACATTGAGATATCGCAATGTGACTTGTGGTAGATTCATAAAAGCATCTCCAACCTACTAGGTATATAATGCTTGTTAGTCAAAATGTCTAGTATGATTTACTTTTTTCAACTCCAATGCACTAAGTATATGATTAGGCATTTTAGTTCAACTTATATTTACTATCTACATGTAGTTAGCCTTCAAAAGTTGGTCAAAATCTATTTAATTATTTGAATTATTTGCCTCTATCTTTATTGCTGATGCAATATTCTATAAAGTTAATAGTATTAGATCAATAACTAAAATAAGGAGTATTATTAGAGTAGAAACATAAAACAGTTGATAAGCAAAATAAAATATATAATTTATAATGTAAACTTGACCATACAATACAGTGATACATGCTAATTGTTTCTTTTTATTAAGTGGTTTAAAAAAAAAAAAAAATTGACCGACATAATCAAGATTTCAATCGATGGAGTGCTAAATTGGTGTTCCTTATATCATTTTCTCAACTCCATTCCAATCAGTGAATATAGGTTGGATTCTGTATTAATTTTATCATAATAAATACAAATACAATTTCTCATCAATTTTTTAAAATACTAATAGTTTCAGGTGAATTTGATCTCATAATCTCTCAATTATTGCTCTATTTCTATAAAATCATTTCAAACGTATCATTTTGAACAACTAATCTTTAACATGTCAATTTTGATACATAATCAATAATTTTAGTTCAAAAGTTAAATTTGAATAAATAACAAACAATTGTAAGACAAAAAAATCAAATTTTTTGTAATGTCAATTTGAATCTATCATGTCTTTTCAAATTTTGAAAGAAAATAAATTTAACAATGCTTTGACAATAAAATGGTCAACAAAATTGGTGACTAGTAAGGAAAAAATAATGTAATCTTTTACAAATTACTCCCTCTGTCTGTAAATATTAATCTCTTATTTTATTTTTCATTATCTTAAAATATTGGTCCATTTTGAAAAATTGAGAATTAAAATAACATGATTTGTCTATTTTGTCATTCTTTTAAATTCATTAACAACACAAAAAAATATAATTATGACAATTGATATTTTCAAAAAAATATACTCACTCTGTCCTAAAATATTAGTTCTTTTTGGAGAATTCAACTTTTTCTAGTAGTAGAATTATTACACTTTAAAAATATTAATTTTTTAAAATTACCCTTTGATAGTTTTGAATTTAAAAAAAGGATAAAATAATAAATTCATATTATTTTTGTCATTAATTTTTGAAAATGGACTAATATTTTGAGACAATGAAAATTGAAATAAAAGACTAATATTTTGGGACGGAGGGAGTACTACCAAAAGGATAGTTTTGAAAAGTTAATATTTTTGATGTAAAATAATTGTAGTATCAAAAAAGTGTTAGGTAGTGTTTGGTAGAGTTTTCTAAATATGATTAGAGAATAGAGTTGTATTTTGAATTTGTGAGTTTTGGAATTATGATTTGAGTGTGAAAAATTTGCTTAGTGAATGAGTTTTGAAAAGAATTTTGAATTGAGTAGGGAATTATTGATGTAACATATGATATCTTATATAAAAACTTACAACTCATAACAAAACACACAACTCAAAAATCTATTAAAAGTTCAAAAAATTTTAAAAAATTCCAAAAATTTTGTTTTATTAAAAAAAAAATTAACATGTTCCGGTTGACGTTCCGGACGACCGGTTAAGCTAAATTTCAAAAAAAAAATAAAAAATAAAAAATCCTGCTTGACACAGAATTTTCTACAAAGTTTTCTTTTTGCTGTGGAAATATGATTTGAAAGATGAAAAATGCTTGGGACCTCTAATTAGAGGTACCACTAGTGATGTGCTGTGTCTTGATTTTTTTTTTTTTTTTTTTTTTTTTTTTTTTTTTTTTTGCCTTTTCCACCTCATTAGATGTGTGTTAAAGCCTCTAAATTAAAGGTCTCTAGCATTGCCCTTAAAAGATATACCCAAATATGGCATTAGAATGTGGGGGTGGAATTATAGTTTGAAAATCTCTCCAAACATAGCATTAGATTCTCCCAAAGGGACGAATATTTTGGCAGGGGTGGGCTAGTTGTTTTATATGTACAGAGTTGTTTTGGGAAGATGGTTAAAAGTTGACTTTTTTACCTTTTTTTATTTTTTTTGAAAAAACGTGTAAAAATTGTAAAAGTTAAGTGATCAAAAATGGGTTAAAAGCTAATTTTTGGCTACTAACTCAGGCCTCATTTGGGAACATGCTAATTTAGTAACTTTTTGGCTATTTGGCTAAAAAGGTAGGTAAAAAAAACTTGTCTGTTTTGGATGACTTTTTGGCTAATTACGAAAAGATGTGCAAAAAGTAGAGAGAAAAGAGAATTTTTGACTTTTTGGTATGAGTTGTTGGCTTTTTGACTAATTTAGTAACTTTTTGGCTAATTGGCTAAAAAAGTAAGACCCCAAACGAGGCCTCACTTTCCAAAAGAGTCCTAATCACATAACTGGACAAAATTATCTCACATGAGTGTGAGATTTACAAAAAAAGATGGGTTACATCTCATATGAGAGAGTTGTGTCCAGTTTTATGATAGGTTTCTATATTGAATAATTGAATAGTTTCAAATGAATTTTTTATTACCACAATTAACCACACTTAGACCTATTTTGGAAAGTAATTTTTTTTAAAAAAAATTTATTGGCTTATTATGAAAAAACGTACAAAAAAAATAAAGAAATGATATAATTCAAATAAACCAATAAACTAATACACTAGCTTTTTTTTTGCCCTCCCAAAAAAAATTGTGATTGCAACAATTAAAATTGAAAAGTACAAATACAAGAATAAAAGAGAGATGATAATTCAAATCGCTTACATATACTAAAAGAAACTTACAAATATAAAAATGTGAATATTTATAAATTATTATTATTATTATTATTTTATAAAATTCTATAAACCCGCCTCAAAAAAATTCTCAAATCAACTAAGCTTCCGTTTGGGAAGTGGGTTGACTTTTTAGTTTTTTGGCTTTTTTAGCTATTTTAGCCTAGGCTTAAAAGTTTGGTTTAGGAAGGACTTTTTGGCTTTTTGGTTTTTTTGAATTTTTTTGTGAAAGAAGAATGTAATGATTATGGGTTGGATGTGATGTTTTGTTTGTTATGGCTAAAATAGTCTATTTTGTTTTTTGTGACTAAAATAGCCAAAAAAACCTGCAAACCCACTTGCCAAACACATGCTAAGTAGATTAGAAGAGAAAATTCAATGAAACAATTATATCTTGTTACTTTGCTAATATGGCATAACAAATCAATTATAACTTATTATTTTAGTGCATTTCATCTCACTATGCATGTATTAATTTGTGGGATAGCACAACTGGTGATATTACCATCCAATCATAATATGCCACATAAGAAAAGTAATTCTCACTGCCAAGTTGTAACCACATATCTACCTTATTTCACTAATCGACAGAATAGATTGTAGCCCCGAATACACATACATGCGGTATATTATGATTCAATAACCGTTTCATTTGAATTTTCCTCATGGTAAAAGATTGACCTTTTTTATAGACTAATATTTTATGATTGAATAATAATATTATGATTCAATGAGGACATGATATGGTAAAAGTAGACAAAGAAAGTTCAACTATGTTGTCCTTGGAAAAATGCCCAACCTTCCTACGAAAGTGTTGGCCTTTTCACCATTTTACAAGACCATTGACTCTGTGGCTCATTTATGTCATGGCATTTAAAAAAATAAAAATTAAAAAAAAAAATTAATAAGAAAATAATAAGCCTCTGTTTGGCAAGAAAAAGCCCAGGCTTTTTTGGCTAAAATAGCCACAAAAAACAAAATAAGCTATTTTAGCCACAAAAAACAAAACATCAAATCCAACCCATAATCATTACAATCATCTCTCACAAAAAAAGTCAAAAAAGCCAAAAAGTCAAAAAGCCCTTCTCAAACCAGGCTAAAATAGTCCAGGCTAAAATAGCCAAAAAGCCAAAAAGCCAACCCACTTTGCAAACGGAGGCTAAACAATTGAGTAAATTTAAGTGGACTTGAACTTCACACAGTCATTCTTCATTTTACATCTGTATCTCATTTTTTAACATATGTATTTCATTTTTTCATTCTTCATTTTACATCTGTATCTCATTTTTTAACATATGTATTTCATTTTTTGAGTATTTTGTGTGTTTACACAACTGTAAACAATTAAAGAAAATTAAAGCGTATTAATTAATGGGAAACTTACAATTAAGAGATTAATAAAGCAAGAAACCCCACAAACAAATGAGCACTGGCATTCTGTAGTGGTAACCTCCCAACTAGGCTACTACTACCGCAGCATCTCCTGCAACAGTGCACGTGCTTTCTCTGTGCTCTCTTTTCTTTACCTTTTTCTTTCTCTTCTAGCGATAGTATCCATTCTCAAATCTTGTATTTCAGTACTAGTCCTTCTAAATATTCATATTCACTCATACCCACATTAGGGTTTGGGCTTTATATACCACGCTCTTGGGTTTAGGACCTTGCCCTTTGCATTGTATCTCACTTTGGAGAGAGAAATAGTACTGAACAGCGGCCAACAGCAACCAGAGGATCCTTTTCCAGAGTGTGGAGCAAATTGCTCCCATCTGGTCTGGGCCTAGTTTCAAAACTATATATATATATATATCTACCTATAGAGAGATCAAGAATGGTGATGGTGGAATCTAAAGAAGCACAAAATGGGACTCCATGGAGCAACTTTCACGGTATGCGTATTTCATGTTCTTGACAAAATGAAACATGGGTTTCCAAGATTGATGAGTGATTGAAATTGGGTTACCTGAATTTCAGTCACTTTCTTGATTGTTTCTTGAAAGTTTTACAGAAATGTATGAACGTGTTTACGGTTCTTTTTCTTTTTTCTTTTTTCTTTTTTCTTTTTTCTTTTGTAAATTGTTTTTGGCTTTTGCCACAAAGCATATCTCATGGAATTGCAAGATTATTGATTGATTGAAAATGAGTACCCTGAATTTCAGGCATTTTCTGGATTGTTTCTTGAAAGTTTTTACAAAATTGTATGAACAAGTTTACACCCGCGTTTTCTTTTTTTCTTTTTTAATTGGCTTTTTTGACTTTTGCCTCAAAAAAGCATATAGCATCTAATGGAATGCGATGCGGGAATCAATTTACATTCTTTTTTGGAAATGGGTTACAAGGGTGGCGGTTGCGGAGGCTGCCATTGCGGTGGTGGGTGGTGGTGGGCCTGCCGGAGATTTGACTGTGGTGGGGTATTGGTGGTGGGTTTTCTGGTTGTAACACTGTCCGTTGTAGATCATGCAGCAGTGGCGGTGGAGGTGGAGGCGGAGGCGGTGGTGGCAGTGGCGGCCAGAGGAAGGAGATATTGGAGTAACTGTGCAAGGGGCAAACCCTGGGTTTGTCTATGTTTGATTTTCACTAGTGTCTCTCGGGCTTAACTAATATCTATTATTTGGAGGGTGGGTCCTAAGGGCCCTTGGGGAGGTTCCTCATCATAATTTTGTTTTTGTTTTAAAAAAAGAAAAAGAAAAATAATATTTGTGGTGTAAGTTGTGTTTGCCTTGTTTTATGCTTCGATCTACGGTGGTATGCTTACTAATTAACCCTGTGTTGATTGCTTATTTCCTTTTGAAGAAATGATTCTAAGGTTTCGAATTGAGGGTTTTGATGAACAACTAAAAAAATAAATAAATTGAAAAACAAGATCTCTCTTTCCTAATTACAATGATCTAATTGATCTTTGAGGGAAAAACGATCAAAACAAACAAAGAATTCGTATGTCTTATGACAGATTGACATGGTGAATTATGCATATTTGTATATTTGTGATATGCATAATTGATAATCTAGCTGAACTGAGCCATATTGACATATGCATGATTCACAACTGTGTTGAGAAAATGAAAAGAGTAACGAAGAAGATATAAACCAGAATTGTGATTGATTTCTGATTTGGTAGTGGTGTTTTAAAATCGCTTCTATTTTTAACCATCTTTCTTGAGCTTGACAGATTTTTGGCTTTCCAATTGTCTTCTTCTAAATTTTGTTCTGCAGATAAAGATGGACTTGTCAAGACAGTTACTGCTTCACTGAAGGTCGCCACGTATCTTAATGGAAAGGAGGGAGAAGGGAAGGATATTAATGGGTTTGATAAGTTCGGCGATGAGGACGATTTTGACCCAAGTGCTCCTCCTCCATTTAGGATAGCTGAGATTCGAGCTGCAATTCCCAAACACTGCTGGGTGAAGGACCCCCTGCGGTCTCTGAGTTATGTTGTCAGGGACCTTCTTGTGGTTTTTGGATTAGTTGCTGTCGCGCTTCACTTCAACAGTTGGATTATTTGGCCATTTTACTGGGCTGCCCAAGGGACAATGTTTTGGGCACTCTTTGTTCTCGGTCATGATTGGTAATAACATACTTAAAACCTTGTCTAATTCCTGTTTGGCAATTAACGTCACTATTCCTTTTTTTCTAATTCAACGTGGTTTTCGGATATACAGTGGCCATGGAAGCTTTTCTGATAGCCCCTTGCTGAATAGTGTTGTCGGACATGTCTTGCATTCTTCAATTCTTGTACCGTACCATGGATGGTATGTTTTTCTTAACGACTCCCTTATTAATATGGTTTTTCACTATATTGCCTGATGTTTGTATCGACATAGCTTGAGTTTGTGCTTGACTGATAAATAATACAGGAGAATTAGCCACAGAACTCACCATCAGAATCACGGGCACGTTGAAAATGATGAATCGTGGGTACCGGTAATAGTTCTTCTGATGCTCATATTGCTCTTATTTTCCTTCTGATCAACTTCTCTCATATTGCTTTTGTTTCTAAATCTTTTGTTTCTAGTTGCCTGAGAGGATATACAAGACTTTGGGCAATTCCACCAAATTGCTACGATTTAAAGTTCCTTTCCCTATGTTTGCATACCCTTTTTATTTGGTGAGAATCCGTCCATCATATTTGTTTACGACAAATCTTTTTTAAGAATCAAATCATTTGTAGTTTGAGAACTAAACAAAGAAGCTTGTTTTGTTCACTTGATGGGTTGAATTACAGTGGAGCAGGAGTCCGGGAAAGAAAGGATCGCATTTCAACCCTTATAGCGAATTGTTCCTTCCCAGTGACAGGAGACATGTGCTCACTTCAACCATATCTTGGACTTTGATGGTTGCCCTGCTTGTCTACCTAGCCGTAGTCATAGGGCTTGTCCCAGTGCTTAAGCTCTATGGTGTTCCCTACTTGGTAAGTGAAACACTCTGCTCAGTTTCTTTATTTTCTGATTATCAGAAAGAGTTTTGAGAACAACCCACTTTTTAAACACCCAAAATTTATTTTTGAAACACAAATGAAAAAGATGAATATTTTCAAACTTTTTATTGTTTTCGTTTCTGAAAACATAAAAAATGAAAATGAAGAAAATGAAAACACAACTGAACATGCCCTCAGTGTTTCAAGTAGTTCAGTTCCTTTGGATTTAATCTACTTGTTTTGATCATATATTTATACAGGTTTTTGTTATGTGGTTGGACTTCGTTACGTACTTGCATCACCATGGCCATGAGCAGAAGCTTCCTTGGTACCGTGGCGAGGTACTAAGAATCTTTCTTGTTCAATTTCTACAAATGCGCTCGTTATTTCATTACAATACTGTTGGAACTTAAAATTCCACAAAATTAAGGCTTAACACATCGTTGTGTTTGCATTAAACAGGAATGGAGCTACTTAAGGGGAGGGCTTACGACCATTGATCGTGATTATGGAATGTTCAATAACATCCACCACGATATCGGCACCCATGTTATACATCATCTGTTCCCTCAAATCCCACACTATCACTTGGTTGAAGCGGTACTACATCTATTAAACTAGAATAATGGTTTTCACTATCAAAACGCAAAAATTTCTCTCGATAATGCTAATATTTGATGTTTTCATGATGCAGACAGAGTCGGCTAAGCATGTGCTTGGAAAGTACTACCGCGAGCCAAAAAAATCGGGTCCCATACCGTTTCATCTACTTAATTATCTAGTGAGAAGCATCAACCAAGACCACTATGTCAGCGACACTGGCGACGTGGTTTTCTATCAGACTGATGCTGAGTTACGTGGTTTGTCTCGGAGCAAAAAGGAGTGATTCTTTGCGATCAAGTAGTTCTTAACGCGCCTAAGTATGCACAATTAGTATAGATTGCATCGTTCCCTTGATGCGCCGGTTATGTCTTCGCGCTTCTTTGTAGGAGTAGATTGTAGCTTTTTTTCCCACAAGAAAAAGAGGTTTAAAGATTGTACGATTATATAGTCCTGATGTTTGTTATTTGTATGCTGAATATACAGATATTATTACTGTTTTAGAAACTCTTTTATCGTAATGTATTGCTTTCAACTGAAGCAAAAATTTGAATAAAATTGGTGAGGTATTTTGCCTCAAGGATGCTCTTCAATGAGATAACAATTTGTGTTGTATGGAAAACTCTTGTAGCCTAAACTTTCACATATTGTGACAGCAAAAATTTAGCAATTTTGAGTTCAGTTGTCTAAAAAGCACTGCAAGGTTCTTGTATATAGAGATGATAATCTAATTCGTGGGCTAACGTTTTCAGTTTTCTATTTTTATTTTAAAAAATTTTGAAAACTGAAAAAGAAAAAGAGAAAAAAAAAAATTACCAACAGGTATCCAATTGATGTTGGATTTATTTTTCTAGTGTGGCCCAATAACTTACATATTTTTAATATGTTTTAATTTATTTGGACTCCACAAATAGGTAAAGCCAATATTTGAGATCAAGTTCAGTAAATAGAATTTTAATATAATCACTCTTCTAAGATAAGAAGGAAACCTTGATGGATTAATAATTCTTCTGATAGAGTTTATTTGGCCATCTTCTCTCCTTTATTGGCCATCTTCTCTCCTTTATATAAGGATGGGTGACTCCCCTTTCATATCATGAGTATTTTTCCATTACTTTAAGTTTTATAGTCATCCTAATTAAGAGAGACAGAGAGAAGAAGGTGAGCCAAAATTAAAGGTTCAACTCTAAAGGGGTATTTTCTTAACTTCTCTAATTCAATGGCTGACAAAGGTATATTCGTTTTATTCTTGAGTTGTATTAAATTCAAGATTTTGTAAAGTTTAATTCCGCATTATTATTATAGTTACATATATTATTAAATCTTACAATTGAAACATAGAAAGCATGCCATCGCCTATTTGGTGGGAATTATTTTTATTTAAAAGGACAACAATTTTTAAAATTTGGTTAAAATTTGAAGTATAAAAAAATGTTTCTTGTTTCCAAAACAAGCTTTTATTGCCCTGAACTTCCTTTTTTTTTTTTTTTTTTTTTTTTTTTTTTTTTTGGTTACGCGGTAAAATATTAATAAGTTGATAAAATAAGATTATTATAACAGGTCAACGTCATTCTATTAACTCAAATCTAAAATAAAATTATTCTGATAGAGTTTATCTGGCCATCTTCTCTCCTTTATATAAGGATGGGTGACTCCCCTTTCATATCATGAGTATTTTTCCATTACTTTAAGTTTTATAGTCATCCTAATTAAGAGAGACAGAGAGAAGAAGGTGAGCCAAATTTAAAGGTTCAACTCTAAAGGGGTATTTTCTCAACTTCTCTAATTCAATGGCTGACAAAGATATATTCGTTTTATTCTTGAGTTGTATTAAATTCAAGATCCTGTAAAGTTTAATTCCGCATTATTATTATAGTTACATATATTATTAAATCTTACAATTGAAACATAGAAAGCATGCCATCGCCTATTTGGTGGGAATTATTTTTATTTAAAAGGACAACAATTTTTAAAATTTGGTTAAAATTTGAAGTATAAAAAAATGTTTCTTGTTTCCAAAACAAGCTTTTATTGCCCTGAACTTCACTTTCTTTCTTTTTCTTTTTTTCTTTTTTTTTTTTTTTTTTTTTTGGTTACGCGGTAAAATATTAATAAGTTGATAAGATAAGATTATTATAACAGGTCAACGTCACTCTATTAACTCAAATCTAAAATATTGGCCCTGTTTGATAGAATTGTAGGAAAGTGCTTATAGTTTATGCATTAATAGCTTATAACTTATAACTATGAACATAAGTTGATTTCTGACTTATAAATTAAGCTTCTCCTACCCCACTCAAAGAATAAGCTGATTTCTGACTTACAAAAAGCTATAAGCTACATTGTTAAGCTAAACCAAACACATCAAAATAGCTTAAATTAAGCTGAAAGCTGAAATAAACTGAAAAAAAACTGTACCAAGCAGGGTATTACCTCAGTGACACTTAATGATAACTTGACCTCTAACATGGTCCCAATTTCCACCCCCAGCCCCATCCCTTTCTAACAACTCATAATATATATATATATATATATATGTAAGTTTGGAAAATATACATGTACCCAATATGTTACTTGTTTTTTTTAATTTTTTTTTTTTCTTCTGAAAATCAGAAAGTTGACAACCATGCCAAATAGTAGAGTCAACTTGATTTTTACACTAGCCAATGATTCTGGTCTAACTCAACCAGGCTGCTAGCATTGTTGGGAAAACTATGTGGAGAATGAGATGTGGAAAGGCATTTTAACTTCACCCTTTATTTTACTTCGTAGATATGACCTGAACCAGTCAGTCCTCCACTTGGGTTGGTGGATTTCCACCCCATTTCCGTACTAGTATAGTAATAGTACTATAGTAAAGTTCCAAGTGGGAGAGAGAGACTAGACTCTATGAAAAAGAAAATACAGTATTTTGTTGTCAGTAACAAAACAGAGGAACAGAGCAAGTCCAGGATTGATGGAAAGGCTTTGCAGTTGGAACCTCCCATCACAAGTATCAAAAATCTAACTGCAGTTAATTGATGGCCCACTAACATTGGTTAGCTTGGGTTATTGACCTCCTTGAGTTTTGCCTTGGGTAAAAATATATAGTGAGTCCAATAATTTTTTTTTTTGACATAATTACACTATCGTTTTTTTAATTTGAACTTAAAATTAAAATATAGTCTACACTATTATAACTCTATTAATGATTTAGCAGTAACATTAATTTATATAATAAAATTTCAATTTTACCCTAAAACTGGCCAACCCAATTTTAATGAGTTAAACTATTCTCAATTCTTTTCTCACCCGTTTCTCTCTACCCTCCTTTGAGTTCCTTTCTAATGATTTCTCACTTCTCCACCCTCTCTCTTCATCAGAAAGACCACACCCTGATTGTGACAACAACCGTGACACTTTGTTGCCGCTGTCTCTATGTGACTCTCATTGGGGGTGTTTTTTTTGAACTACTCATTTGGAGTGTGGGTAAAGTTTATAAACTGTTTATTTTAATTTTTAATTTAATTTAAGTTAAAAGTTTGTATTTGATTTAGTTGAACTTGACTAATTTATAACTTAAATTAAACTAATTTTCAACTTTTTTAAAAAGTTGGTGAACGGGTACTTAATATTTTAGCTTAAGTGCACAGCTGGTGTTGGGAAGAAAAAATGACTTAAATACCCCTTACAATTTCAAATTAGTACAAGTATGCCATGTATATAAACCAAAACACTCTCATTTTTGCCTTTTGCACAAATCTGTCTGGCGATTTTCGGTGACTTCGAGCGATTTCCAGCGAACCAGAGATCTCTCTCTCGCACGAACATGAACCAAAGATCTCTCTCTTCCTCACTCTCTCTCTCTCTGCTACATCCATGGCGCCGCACCTGGGGTTTTTCGTCGTCGATCTCGGGCGTGTGTGTTCGCGATCACGAACCAGAGATCTGTTATATATATATGTGTGTGTGTGTGTGCGCGCGCGTGTGTTGGTGTGTTTGAAGTGGCTATGCGCGTGTGTTCACGATCGCGACAGCTCTCTCTCTCTCTTCGGCGTTCGTGGCAGATCTCTCTTTCTTTCTCTTCACGATCGCTACAGTTCTTTGTCTCTTCGGCGTTGTTCATAGCAAATCACGGTAGATCTCTCTCTCTCTCTCTCTCTCTCTCTCTCTCCACGATTGCGATCGCGGTCGCGATTGCCACGTCGCCGCTGTACCTTCATCGTTGTCCCCCACCCCCATCCCTTTCCGGTAAACCAAAGTCGTCGTCGCTGCCGACTAGGGTTTTTTTTTTTCCTAGAGGTTTTCAGTATTTTTTTAATAATAATAATAATAATAATAATAATAATAATAATAATAATAATAATAAAGCCATTATTATTAATAATTTTAGTATTAATTATTAAAATTGGTTGATTACAAAAAATAATAATTTTAGTATTTTTAGTATTAATTATTTTAGTATTAATTTCAGTATTTTTATATTAATTAATGCTAATTAATAATTTTAGTATTAATTGATTACAAAAAGCCATTAAGTGCCACTAATTAATTTATAATGAAATAATTTTATACTAATTGATTTATAGTGAAAAAATGAAAAAAAATAATTTATAATGAAAAAATGAAAATAAGCCATTAATTGACACTAATTAATTTATAATGAAATAATTTTATCAAATGTATCAATTTTATCAAATGTATTAATTGATACTAATTAATACTAATTGTAATGACAATTGTTATATTATTAATTATAATGAAAAAAAACATTAATGAAAACAGAATCACAATTTTTTTAAAAAATTAAAATTGAAGGAAAAAAAAAGAAACACAAAATGAAATAACTTATATTAAATGAAATAAAAAAATGAATATTATAACTTCTATTAAATAACTAATTGAAATTAATATACAGAAAAATAATATGTAATGACATCACAACATTAATATAAATATATGGCTATTAATTGATATTAATTGTAATGAATTAATAAATTAAACAAAATTAACAAAAAGAAAGAAGAGAAGTAAAAAAGAAAAAGAAAGAAGAGAAAATAAAATAAAATAAGAAGAAAAAGAATTACAATTTTTATGTTCATAAGGGCAAAAATGACAATTACACAGCAAAAAGCTATTTTACAACTTATTTACCAAACACTACTCTGCTGCTTAAATCTATAATTCCACAGTTACACCAAACAGATTATCAACTTATGTTTACAGCTGTAAGTTATAATCTATAATCACTTTCCCACAGTTCTACTAAATGGGGCCATTATCTGCCATCTTTTCTCTTTGTCAAATCTTGACTATCGCACTATTGTCGCTTCTTTTAGAACATAAGATCACCATAATACCATCATTTCCATCTCTCCAAATTGCGACCACCGTCAGTTCTCTCTCCTCAGATCACAATGGACACCACCTTCAATTCCTCAAATCACACTATCACCAAATTCATCACCACTCATCAACTACCTACTACCAACATTGACCAACATTGCACATTGACATCCAAACCACATGGTCAAGCTCTAGGCTCGAGTGCAAGATGTGAAATCAAAGACATAAATCATAGATCTTGGAACGCTTTGGCAAATGTGTTGGCATATAGGTGTTTAT